TGGTATACCTTGGAGGAGGCCTATGTTCAGCAGTAGACTTGTGAAGGGCTGTAATGATGATGATGAAGAAACAAAACCCAGATGCGTTGTTACCCCTGACGACTAAGTTCAAATGCTTCGTTTCCAGTAAAAGAGGGTCTCTGGATCTCTACACTAACCATACGAAACACAGCAGTATTAAGCTGCTATTTTACTCTGGTATTCTGTGAGAGCGTGATCCTTCCCCGGTCGAGCTGATCCATTCGTACTACAACCATAGTACAGCTGCAGCGTTGCTCTACCACGTATATAACTGCTAGTAGTACTTATTATCAAATAAGTAAGAATATTAAAGGCCGTGCACTACGTGGCGCCGGCATAAGAAATCATCACCCCACAAGGTCCCATGAGTAGAGTAAAGGTGTGAAGCTATCGGCCAAACTTGACGATTACGACAAATCCTCCTTACATTGGGAGGAGCTCTTGTTTCTGGACTGTTACTGGTTGGTGAATAAAAAATTGAAGTAGGTAGGTTGGTGGGTAATATAGTTAAAATGTTTTTTTTTTAAATTGTAGCTGAACAACAGTTCAGTCTACACAAGTATATTGACAAGAAAGACCTCTAAGTACGTCCGTTTTGTTCTATGAATTACATTACTTGAAGTATTTAGTATTAGGAATGTATTTGCAATGAGGCAATCTATTTAGATCTCATGGGTATGCAACGAGGTCCTCTTTGTTTATCTAATGTAAACGTCTGTCTATTATGTATTTCAAATTCATCGCCTGTATATCTAAATATGTTACGTTTCTGCATTTCGTATAATAGGATATATGTGATCGACCTCTGTTAAGCTTCACCAAGATTTAACTGTCATTTTTATCGATATTTTTAAATATCGCTAATTACGTGATTTTGATTAACGAATATAAAAATCATGGAAGTATTTATATTTGTTTTTTTTTATAATCATTCATTGATTTTCTAACTACATATTATCTACCTACATCTATCCTATGATCGATCAAAATGTAGATGCGGTATCACCCCTGACTTTTAAGATGATATAATAACGGGGTATTACATCTTAAAGGTAACCAGTAAAAACTAAAATGATCTCAAAATATAGATACAATAAACATTGAATAAAACTATTATTTACGGATTTTATCGCGTTTAATTACTTAAATTTGTTTTTACTATCCCGACGTTTCGGGTGCTTTACAGCACCCATGGTTACGGGGGTACTGAGATGTTTGACGTCCCAATGTCATAGTTAGTCCGGCTACCTTCAGTTTTTGAATATTAATTTTTGGTCCGATTTACGCAAAACGAGCTTATAGTATCATGAAATCTTGCAGTGGTATGCTTGGGTTTGGGTTTAATTTTGTTAATTACGGGATCCCAAGCAGGTGGCAGCACCCATCCATCTTTTCTATTGAAATTTGGATGTTTTTTTAATTTCAATAGCCTCGCGTATTATCCTTGGTAGGAATAAGTGTTCTTTTGCGAGGATTTGTGGTTTATCAAATCGAACGTAATGGTGGGGACGATCTTGAACATGCTCGCAGACTACAGACTTCCCGGAGCGTCGGTGCTTCACGTCAGCTATATGTTCCTTCACGCGGGTTTTTATAAATCGTTTTGTTCGACCTATGTAAGAGAGACCACATTCACAATCTAGCTTGTACACACCTGCATCCTGTAGAGCAATGGCGGCTTGTAGTATGTTTTAATGGAAGCTCGCTTCAAGATGTAGCCAATCTTGTCTGTGACTCCTCTGATATATGGTAGTACAGCAGGCGCACGCTCGACTGTGGCTGGCTTCACTAGTTCACTTGACGTAGGCGTGGGACCCGAAGCTTGTTGTCTTGCAATACTTGCTTGACGTGTTGAAGCTCGGCGGCCAGATGTTTTCTGTCAAAGATCCCTCGTGCTCTCTGAAACAAAGATTTACCCACGGTAGCTAACTGTGAAGGATGATGATTAGCTACCGTGGGTAAATCTTTGTTTCAGAGAGCACCATATATCAGAGGAGTCACAGACAAGATTGGCTACATCTTGAAGCGAGCTTCCATTAAAACATACTACAAGGCGCCGAAGAAGATTAGTCAATTTTTACCATCCATTAAATGTAATATTACTCTACAGGATGCAGGTGTGTACAAGCTAGATTGTGAATGTGATCTCTCTTATATCGGTCAAACAAAACGATCTATAAAAACCCGCGTGAAGGAATATATAGCTGACGTGAAGCACCGACGCTCCGGGAAGTCTGCAATCTGCGAACATGTTCAAGATCGTCCCCACCATTACATTCGATTTGATAAACCACAAATCCTCGCAAAAGAACACCGATTCCTACCAAGGATGATACGCGAGGCTATTGAAATTAAAAAACATCCAAATTTCAATAGAAAAGATGGATGGGTGCTGCCAGCAGCTTGGGATCCCGTAATTAACAAAATTAAACCCAAACCCAAGCATACCACTGCAAGATTTCATGATACTATAAGCTCGTTTTGCGTAAATCGGACCAAAAATTAATATTCAAAAACCTGAAGGTAGCCGGACTAACTATGACATTGGGACGTCAAACATCTCAGTCCCCCCCCCGTAACCATGGGTGCTGTAAAGCACCCGAAACGTCGGGATAGTAAAAACAAATTAAAGTAATACACATTGAATAATAGTTTTATTCAATGTGTAGTGTTCGCGTAAATTTAAGAAATCATTACAATAAACATAACCTTCACTAGTTAGAAACTTCATTAAAAACTTATTAGGACATAGCATAACGTCGTTGTGTAAAAAAACTATTTAAAAAGTATAGAGAAAATAATATGTAGAAATACATACTATGTTATACATATTACTAAAAATATAATCGATACCTATGATTAATATATATTGCATTTTGAAACACAAATAAAGTTTGACCACGCGTGAAAACTGGGTGTAATATTGATTGAAAGAAAAATTATACAGTCATTCAAACATGCCACAACGGTTCATTGCTCCGCTGAGTTCGAACGCAATTAGCGTAATAAAGGGTACAAGTAGCCGCAAGCAAGTCGGCAAGGTTCGCTTGCTCTTGTCACTCTCCAGATATGAGACCTTGACATCTTATAATAGCGCTGTTGTATCAAAATGCCTTTCATTTTAAAACGAGAATTAAAATACAACTACTTATATTCACGGATTTTACAGCTCTCTGGTCTATCGCAAAGACATTAATAATTATTTACATAAATATAATAATATGTTACACAACGTGATTTATGTCTTTCAGTCTACATTTACATTTATAATTAGGTAATAGATATGATAAAAAAATTCAATTTAAACTAAAAATTAATTATTTAGCTTATAATAAAAGGTACAAGCTGAATTTAAAAGGTAACATATTATAACTCTTTTTATTGTTTTGAGTATCTAGAATGCCGTCTGAGTATGTAATTACATTAACCCACTATTTTTCCACCCTATGCAATGGATTTTTTCCTAACATTTATATGGCAATACTCCTGAAATGTAATCTGTTTAATTTAAAAAAAATCACTCATTCGGTTGCGCTGATTTCAAGAAATCGGTGAACATGCTTAAAAATACGCGTCGAATATAGAACTTTCTCGTTTTTTAAAACTCGGTTAAGAAGTGCCAATTGTATTGTTTTTACACACTGTGCAAAACCCATATATGATGAACCGTTTCTTTTTCTGATTTTTATTTAAATTCATTGGCGACTTTATTCTTAGCCGTATCAAATTGACCTTTTCGCAGTTCCGTGTTCTACATATTGTACTAGTTCATTGCTATTGTCTTACTATTGTATCTGAAAATCGGACAGTGAAAGTGTTAAGTAACTAATGATATTGTATTTCCACAGGTGCGTCAACCAAGGAAGCCCAAATACGTGTAGGTCAGGAAATAGCCGAGCAACTTGTGAACTTGGTGAAACCTGGCACCTATGCCACACCCCTAGCCGAGGTGACCCGCGTCCTCGCTAAGTGAACGCTACTTCGTCATAAAACACTGAACGTGCCACCAAGTACGTTCTAATAAAGGCTGAAAGTCAGATGTGCGATCGCAGTCTTGGCGTCATTCGATATTTATCATATTACTGTTTCCTTGCTTCATAATCACATAAAACATTTTTTTATAATTCTTATTTCTTAAGTGATATATTTTTATTAATAAACTTTAAAATATATTAAATTAGTCTTTAATTAAAAAATGCAAAACCTAAAAGAAAGGAAGAAACAAATAAGAACCAAAAATAATAAAATAATTTCTACATAACTGCTTCTGAAGTCATTGCCAAGGCTATGCGTATCAAAAAATTAGAGAAACGACTTCTAAATGTTTATTTGTTTTTACCCTTTTAAACGGACTAAGGGAAAGTTTTTTTTAAATATTTATATGATGCTATTCCAAAAGTTAAAAAATTCGGTGAACATAGATAAGAGACAAGTAACTCGGTTATAATAAGTCCCTATGGGTTAGTACCAATCTTTTACTATTTCTACCGTCAAACAGTAGTGCACGGTGAGCTGGGTTTTAGTTTTAATGGTAACAGAGCAAGTATGCTAATAGACTATGATGCAATAAAAATAATTACTTAATATTTTTTACTTTGAAAATGAACAAACACGTCGAGTTTTCTATTTTATTTTAAGAATGTTAACATTGAGCATAAAAATTATTTCACGATTCAAAATGTGTGTATGTCTTGCTAATTAGTATATCTGATAATTTTAAACTTTTGGATTTTATTATGTTACGAAGAAATAAATTTCTAATAAACATATTAAAAATATTTATTTAAAAATTACTTATGACATATAATTTACAATAAAGTATAAAAATCATAATATCTAATCGTCGGCCTTGGCGAGTTTCGACCAGAACTTGTATTGGCGGAGAAAATCACATTTAACGGGATGAAAGGAGATGGGGCGGGAGGGGAATCTAGGATAATGGTATTACAGATCATTAATATTAACTGTTATGGTACGAATCAGTTCCCTCCTCGTCTGGAGAACGTCCTACCAGTTCTCACGGGAGGGGCGGCATCATTTTGCTCATCTGGCTCAGCTTCTTGGAATGATTTTGATGACGCTGTAGAAAGAAAACCAGTAATTAAAGTAGACTAATTAGATAATATTCAACTGATACATCAGTCTTTTAATATTTGCTTTATTTTTACACTTCTTATCGTACTAAAATATAAATAATTGGGTAGTTGAAGCCACCATTATATATAATCCCGTCATACAATTTGAATATGCTATTTTGGCTGCCCTTCTAAACGTCTTAGACAAGACACTTTTATCTCATTTAAAGTCAAAAGTTTAAGGGGTAGGCACAGGCCTCCTCTCATTTCTGAGAGGGTTTTAGGGCAAGGAAATGTCCGCCGCGTTGCCCCAATGCGTGTCAGCGAATCGGCACTTAAAATTTCAATTAACAACTTCGTAGGTGCCGGCGGGGATCGAACCCGGATTGCTCTCGTACTGTGAAGTTTGAAGTCTACAGCGACCGCTTAGCCCCTGAGCTACCATGGCTCTTTATTATTCCATTTGCCTCTACAAATTATAGGCAAAATACATTTATTTGGCTAGCGTGTAATAATTTCAAAAAGCTAGTCAAGGAGTTCGAGATTTGACGTTGCGTCAGCCGAGCGCATAGGTACTTAATGCTGCATTATTTTGTAGTTCTTAATGAGATATTTATGTACGTGTTTGCGCAAAACTAAGACTTTAATATTTAATATATCATCTATCTATTTTTTTTGCATAAAATATATTATACAGTTTAAAGTTAAACAAAAATTAAAATATGAATAACAGTTAGACTTCGTAATCGCGTTCATCACTGGTGTGTTTTAATTATATCTTTGTGGGACGTGGGACTTTAATTGGCTTACTCTATCTACTAAGTATTATCTATGTAATAGAATAAAAATTAGTATAAAAACATTATAACTTTATTACACTGTAATAAATTCTCGTACAATTTCTACAAAAAAATGTTTGTCTTGACTACTCTTAAAATTATTTCAATTTGTTGGAGTACTAATAACTATTTCAATAACTAGTTCACCCACAGCGTTAAGAGTATGGACAAAACTTTACCATGACGAAAAATGCTTACTCAGGGCTGTTGATGTCGATTATCAAGATGGTATTCCCATAATAAAATAGTCATGTAAACTTTTACAACCATCATCATCATCATCATCATTACAGCCCTTCACAAATCTACTGCTGAACATAGGCCTCCTCCAAGTAATGCCACAAAGCACGGTCCTGAGCCACCTGCATCCATCGACTTCCTGCATGTCTTACTAGGTCGTCACTCCATCTAGTGGGGGGTCGCCCTACACTAAGCCTACCGGTACGAGACTGCCACTCGAAAACCTTTCTTCCCCATCGGTTATCGGTTCTTCGCGCTATATGGCCGGCCCATTGCCCCTTCAGCTTACTAATCCGTTGGGCTATGTCGGTCACTCTGGGTTAACTGCGAATATCCTCATTTCTGAGTCTATCACGCAGAGAAACTCCGAGCATAGCCCTCTCCATAGCTCACTGAGCGACCTTGAGCGTCCTCATACGGCCAGCAGTGAAGGACCACGTCTCAGATCCGTAAGTCATCACTGGCAACACGCACTGATTATAGACTTTATTTATCAGCGATTGAGGTATACTTGACGAGAAGATGTGTCGTAATTTCCCGAACGCTGCCCAGGCGAGTTGAACTTTTACAATATAAAGCTATTATTTTTACAACTTACTTTTACCAAACCGTCCTCTGTTGGTCTTGGCTGGCACTGGCGCTTCTTCAACATTGGTCTCTCGTGTAGCTGTGTTGAAGCGTTTTTTACCTAGAATTAACGCAGCGACGGTTAAAACTCTAAACACGTGATAAAACAATTGCAGGAAACATTTCTGTGATAAAATATTTATTTATTTAAAATGTTCATTGAACATAAACTTATCTCTACCAGTCAACCACGAGTTAAGTAGAAAGCCTTAGTGAGTGCCAGTAAAAATAGATATAATTATCATAAATTTACATTTTCCTTATTGCTACTGCTTACAGCCTGTACGGATAAAGAATGGGCTTAGAAATGGCGACTCATCGAACTCATACCATCAACATGCACAGTACCAATAGCGAAAACCCGCTAACAACTTATATGTCGTTATAACGTTATATTATTCGTTAATTGGAAATTTTCTATTAATGGAAAAATATTTAAAAAGAGTTGTATACGCAAGTAGGTTAATTTTTAAATTAAGTATATAACTACGCGACCCGCTTTGGTTTGCCTGGCTGGGATCTTCTACTGTGGCATTATTTAGACTTAAGATAATCATGAAATACCATTTATTTCATCTTAACAATATTTTATTTTAATAATGTAATAATGTCTCTAAATTTTTGGAATAAGATTTAGTTTATATCACTCCTGTGATATAAACTAAATCTATTAATAAATTTGTTAAATTAACTAACAAATACTGAGTTTATACAACTCTGTGCTGTTCTCGGTTAATAAAGTTATCGGTTCAGCCATTTCGAAGATTATCCGGACAGACAGACAAACAAAAATTTAAAAAATGTCTGTTATAATAATAAACTCATGTCTTAATAGCATGTAAATATTTTATAAAAAATATTATGTAAAAAACAAAATCAACTATAATTATGAAGAAAACTCACAGAACGCGTAGTAGCTCGATTAGCGAAACCAGACTGAATTTTTTTGTAGAGTCATTTTGTTATCATTGATTCCAATGACAAGTTACACTGAAGTTATAGATCATACAAACAACGCATATCGAAACGTATTTTTTTTTGCAGTGTCTAGCGGCTGGTGGCATATACTTACAGCTTATAAGATACTTTATGTAGGTATTGCAAAATATACGCATAATTTAGTTATTTCATATTTTTTCCTCGTGATGGTGTTTCACATACATAAATTATATATGCAGAAGCATCCAGACCCGAAACAACTATTTATAGGCGACCATACAAACAAATTACTCAGGCAGGATTCAAGCCCGCGGCCCCCTGTTTGTGCTGCCAAACGTTTAGCCACGTGCGCTACCGTACCTACGCGTTTAAAAATATATTATAAACAAGGCATTAATACTTTGTTTGATCGTAAATATCTTATTAATAATATGTTAGCAACTTGCTTAGCTTACAAATAAAAGTCTTAACTCTTAACTTAAAGATAAAGTACTTAAGTTGCATTTACTACATGTGGTTTGGTACTAAGTACTACGAAGTCAGAAGTTCGCGAAATGAAAGGGAAAGAGAGTGAAATTAAACATGAATTAATTTTTCCTTTTCGATAAGTCTTAGGAAGTTGCCTCAATCGATCGACCTGAGCGTTACTCGTATTCTATTGAGTCATTTTTCCAGAATAAGAATCTCTTTAAACAGAAAACATCATCTCCATATCGATATTTGGCATTTTCCTTGTTTAGTGAGCAACGTAATCACGGCACGAAAATCAATTTTCTAATATCTAGTGTTTAGTTCTCGATTGAATTGTTTATTCTGTGATATCTCAAAGGTTAATGAACTGATCTAGCTGAAACTTTGTATTTATAGTTGTTTTGATTCACCAAAAAATTCCCCGTCCCCTCTCAACCCTCCATTTCGCGAACTTTTTGGGCCAACCTCGTACATGGCTCCGAACTTTAATATTCAATAAAAAAGGATAACAAAGAACACTAACTTGTTTTTGGTTTGCAATAAACAAGAAAACGAGTACAATTGCTGCATATTGTATGTACCTTTAAGTGAAATATTGAATATTGTCTCTCTGTCGTAAGATTTACGCAAGGAATGTTGCGGTTTTTCGCTTGGGATAAAGCTCAAGGCCAGCTAAGCCTGATGCAAAATAACAGTCCATATCATTGGTTGTTGTAACAAAATCAGAACTATCCTTTGGTGTTTTATTCATTTTGTTAAATGTCAGACAGTGCCACATTACCATTTTTTTATTAATATGCATTAAGTCCAGTATTATAATAAAATACTACGGCAGTCAAAGTTATAGATTGTTTTGCCAAATAGTGGCGATATAAGACAATCACCCCGTTCCCCCCCCCCTCCTCACTTTTTTTTGTTGTTGTCATAAGAGACGACGGGGAATGCTAGATGTTATGCTCTTTTACGTCAGAATTAAAATATCTAGGCCGGCGCGCGCAGCAGCGCCAGAGATGTGATGTCTGGCACTGCAATCGTCACAATCCGTGTGCCAAGTGTAACGATCACCACAAATCCTCCTTACCACGGGGGAGGTACATGTCCAGCAAATACAGAAATTCACATTTTTACATCTTATTCTTCGATTAATTGTTTGTTCGATAGTTTCGATTTTAGAAACAAAATAACAAACAATCTTCGCGCAGATCATACATACATAAACACTCACGCCTGTCACCCAGAGGGGTAGGCATAGACTACAGACTTCCATTTAGCACGATCCTGACATACCTCTCTCGCCTCTTCCACATCCATATACCTACGCATACATGCTCGTCGGTTAAGGGTACTCTTAATTTGGCCCATTTTTAGTATATCGCTAATTTGGTCGACAAACTTCCGCCTAGGACGTCCCTTTCCGACTCTTCCATTCACTTCTGCAACATATATTTGCTCGCGCAGATCAGCAATTTAAAAAGAAATATCTTACTGTAGCTAGATTTTAACGAAGCTTCTGCAGGAGAATCTTGAGATTGAGAACCAGCGGAAGACGCTTGTCCATTCAATTTAGCTAAAAAAAGTAAAAATAATTTAATTAAGGTTTATTGTCCTGCTGCTGGGTGGACTCTTCAATCTCTTAATGTATGCATATATATCGTAATTACAGTTGTTGTTTCCGTTTTCCGTTTCTTATCAGGTTTTAATATAAACATTCCTGCCTGCGTCCAGACGTGGCTTATGTTATGTCACAGATGACCCGTAATAATACCTCTACATGAGAGTAGTCGAGGAGCCGTGGTAGCTCAGATGGTTAGCGCTGGCACCAATGAAATTGTTAATTACATTTTTAAGTGTTGATTTACCACGTGCTCGGCGATGTAAGTAGGTAAACATCGTGAGGAAACCTGCATGCCTGGGAAATAAGAAAAAAATATTTTGAAGACATGTGAAGTTCGCCAACACGCATTGGGGCAGCGCAGCGGACAATTGCTTGCCCTAAAACCCTTCCAAAAATGAGAGGAGGCCTGTGCCCAGCACTGGGACGTATAAGCTGTAATTTTACTTTTAACTTTATGAGAGTGGTGTTTGTTCAGCAGTGGAGTTATGATCTCGTCGTTGCTGTGACGTTGATGATCTCTTTGGCATTACATTGTAAAATTATGTATAACAATTATCATATACACTATAAACAGTGTGATAATATCTAATCTATTAGAACCTATTAGAGTACATTACTATTTATACTCATAGCTAATGTGCAAATGGAAACATAACTTTCTACTATTTTAATTTTTAAATGAGATTTCAGTAAATTACGCAACGATATAACGAAGGAATATTCGGAAAATCTTTGTTATTTATTACACGGTTCAAATTTAGTTAGTTACCTTCAGCTGCCTGAGCTCGTCTCCTTTTAAGTGCTTCCAGTAAGTCGGTGTTACTACGGAAGGGGCGCACACCGCCCTGGACTAGTTTCTTGCCCTCTGTGGAGGAGGTTGGCGCCTCCGTGGACGGTTCCTGAGGTTCTTCTTCTGAATATTCCGCATCATCTTCATACTCCCCTTCCTCCTACAAAACATATTGCCGCAATTGTTTATTCGAAAGTAGCAAATGCCTGCCTACTAAATTCAGTGCGTGATTTTTATTCCCTACCCTTCCAAAGGGTGTACACCTGGAAATTAAAATACATTCCTATTCCGATTTCCAGACAATCATGGCGCCCGCTTTATATCACATCATAGTACGAAGAGCTCGTTTATAAGTTAGATTATGAGCTATACCTCTCAGAGCGGGGTATACTTGCTATAGATGCTACGCTTGGCAAATGGATTGACAAACCCCCACTGGTTGGAGTGGCGATCTGATCAAACATGGAATGGGTATATTTTTATATGCATTTGTTTTATATGGTATACATGGATGGATACAGGTGGCTCAGCTCAGGACCCTCAGGAGAGGCCTTTTTTCAGTAGTGGACTTATAATGCGTAAAATGATAAAAAATCTAATTTTTTTACTAGGGACCCAAACATATACGTTAAAAACATCTCTTGAACATAATTTATAATTAAAAATAAAAATTTACTTAAAACTGATTTCATATTCGGGTGTTTAATGTCAACTATTTTGCATAGATAATATAAAAGATTAACAAGTGTACAAGAAAGAGCACTTCATGATATTTATTATAATATTTAACCTTTAAAAGTAGGTATTACGTGTAAAAGATGAACATAAAGGTCAAACTAATTAAATGTTTGTAAGATGTCAATTCTCGTAGCTTACATTTATGCAATGATACTAAAACTTGATTGACATGGAAAAAAGCTTGAATACAAAAGTCGAGACCTCATTAACATTACATCTATCTATACAAGTAAATAAAATTGATATGTCAGTTTGTAATGTCAAAATAACAGATTTTTACTAAATTCATGTGAAAGTATATACCGTACTTATAACAAAAAATAATTTATAAAATTTTCGTCTGTCTGTCTACCCGTCTGTCTGTCTGGCTGAACCGAGACGGGTCTTTCACTGGCAGATAGCGGATTTTATAAGGATTAACTTACTTTACACGGTTAGGCTACTTTTATTAGAAAAAGAATTGAGGTTCCGCGCAAAAAAAATAAAACCCATCGTAATAAACTCCAGCTAGTCTTATCAATATAAAAATTAAGCTTATCATGCATTCCGATAGATGATACTCTATTAATGCTTCAATATGGTGGTAGGACTTCTTCCTTTTCTCTGAATCTTAGCTACTTTTGCCGCAGTGTCTACACTACTGAGTTCCAGTGTGAAGGGTAGTTTGAAGAGAGCCAGTATAATGAATTACAGGCTTTAAGGCATTCCACCATAGGCCTCAGGCGTGACAATACATCTGTAACCTTCTTTGTTTAAATTGGTTGTAGGTTTCCATGGGCCGTATCAGTCACTTATAATCAGGTGGACCGTAAGGTTTTTATAAAAAAGAATTTTATAAAAAAAGGTGCAACCACTTCCAGCGAGGGATCGCACTATATTTCAATGCTTTTCCCTAATGCCAACATCGCTTGCACGTGGTGTAATACCGTGATTACCGTGTGAAGTCCTACAGATGTTGGTTAAGAAAAGGCTAGAAAGTTAAATTCTAATTTCACAGACTGGCTGTAAAGGGGTACAGTATTTCGAAAGGCTGTACTAAAAAAGTATACTGGATTTACTGTGGGATACGGAACGGATAAGTTCAAATATAAAAACAATGATATAATGTTTGTTGTTGCAGTTTTTGAAAATACATGTGCGTGCGCAGTAAAGTCAGTTAAAATAATGCATTACCACGCAGTTTGATTTTAAAAGATAAAAAGGACGGAATGTTTGAGATTTTTTTTATTTAATTTGTCTTCACTATTTTCCTATGTTACTAATCCTGAACCTTCTCTGCAAATTTGGCCGGTTATTACAATATAACCTGTTACTGCAATATAAACTGTATATTTTATTGTTTGTTGCACCGAATTCCTGTACAAAAGACTAGCTTATGGCTGCTACATGTCAGGCGCAATATTTTTTTGCGTAACCGGTTTTTGATTATATTGGAGCAACTTTAGGTTGTTATACCTACGCAAGTTACAGGTAGAAATTACACCGAGAGAAATGAGCTTATATAGAGGTCACCTACGTAGGTAACTCAATCATCGGAAACCTGTCCTACTTACCTTGAACCACATGTAACCAGGACATCGACTTGTTTTTTCCGAAATGCGAAAACAAGGGCAAGCGAAGACCGCTAGTGCATGGTATATAATAAAAACTCATCCTTTCTTTATGATCGTTGATAATCGCTTACTTAAATTAAGTACTAATTATCTCTATACCTGTCTCTTTTTTTGTCATTTAGTGTAAGGAGAGGATAACTAAGTATTTCATAATCTGTTGTCAATTATTACGATTAAGGTCGTATATTTCTAGTTTTAAACATGTACCCTTTTGGTAAATGCCTCGAAGATTTTTACCGCTTTGGTCATGTCATGTGTGGCTATGTCAAAAAAAAAATTATCCCGTCACGGTTCTCTGAACGACATTATTCAAATAGCTCTTGTCTCTACAATATTCTTTCGATTTAAGAGCATTGTGATGTAATTAGATACGATGGCAGGAGCCGCAACCGTATGACTTTAGTGCCCTCGAAACAAGTGAAAGCCATCGTGTACGATGTTACGGGCGTAGACGCTATGAGGGCCTCTTAATTCAGGGATACCACGTTTAGAGCCGGGACGGATTCAGAGTTGGTTAAACTGAGTTAATGGCACAAGTATGAGTCTGATAGATGACTACATATTTTTGTCATTTGTATCGATTCGTGTGGTCCACCCGTGAAAGCTCCTAAAGTAACTATATCCGCGACTAGTCAGGGCAACTGGTGACAATAGGGCTGATTCCTCTCCCTTTTAAATACTAAGTACTTATAGCCATTTTCTAGGAAACGCAGCGAGCGATTTTAGCACTTTATAATAGGACTATGCCGTGAGGAATAGTTTTAAGTACTCGTAGGTATGTGTTGCCAGTGTCAAAATCCGAGTATATCATCAAAGCAGCTCAATGATACCTTATTGTATTTGTCATAGAAGATTTATGCCAGATTTTAGCTGAATCGAATGTGTAAGCGCCTCAAAAATTTTATAGAAAAGAAATTCGAAGAAAGCAAGATAGATAAAAGATATAAAAAAAACACGAGGAGAACACCAAGGAGTATGGTGCGTAGTTGAACAGTGAACCAACCAGGAGAATTGAACCACCACCATATTGAAAAAACTGCAAGATTGCCAATTCGACCGATCGTGTTAAAATTTTTCTCATAATCACCCTTCCCCTCTCCCGTAGTTAGCCGGTGGCTGCGGCTTGAGCGTAAGGTGTGACAGCGGTTTCTTTGTTTCTCGCCAAAAAAACATAGAATTCTCACGTAAGTGTCTCGATTTTTATATATTTTGTTATTAATTCTAGCACCAAAAGCTTTATGGTGTCGATATTGTTGTAGTTTTAGACGTTTTATAAGCATATTGCTTTGTGACAATTCAGCCTATAACCTATTTTTTTTAAAATATTATAAGTTGAATAGTGTGTGTATTGAACAGTGAACCAGGTTCGCATAGTACACAGTGAATCGGTTCACTGTGTACCTTACGATCCTGGTTCTCTGTTCAATGATAGTGTTATGCTGAAAATCAATAATATTTTTGATTGATTTAGGATGTCAAGGCCAAGAAATATGGAAAGAAAAATTGGAAAACACAGTAAGACGATATGATGTCGGCATTACTAATGATAGAAAATGGTAGCTCCATTAGGACGGCGGCATAAACCAGTAAAATTCCCTACCATACATTGCGCCGTTACGTTAAAAAAACGTGAACATGGTGATAATATATCACTCGAACCGAAGTATGATATTAGTAAAGTATTTGCTGAAGAACACGAACAAATATTATTAAAATACTACAAAGGCTGTGCACTAATGTTCTACGGTTTGACCATTAAATAAATTAGGAAGGCGGCGTAATAAATGGCAAAGGTTAATGGCATAATGGCAAAATGCCAAGCCCATGGGAAAGGGATAAAATGTCAGGTTTGGAATGGTTTCGTTTCTTTAAAAAAAGATATCCGGATATTTCAGTAAAGAAACCAGAAGCTGTAAGTCTCACACGAGCTACCACCTCATTCGATCGGAAAGCTGTGGCAATATTTAAAAGATCGTCTAAGTAAAACCTTTATGTTTCGTCTAGAACCCGACATGGCTAATGTGAAACTAAGTGACATTAAAATGATTCTCCCTCCTCTTTTTCTGTCAGGTACAAAACGTCTGATTAAATATTCCTTTCATCGATCACTAATATTCTTTATTATCTTATCTTTACTAAATATGGCGTAAATATTTACTTTGACGCATTTTGATGTATTTTTATCGTGATTCTTTAATTAGTCGGTAAATTAATGAAGACTTTTAATGATACTATTTGAGGAAGTTCTGATTGTATTTATCCAGAGGTTTATATGATAACTTAGCGTCTTTAAGAAGTTAACTGCTGTGAAGAAAACTGTACGAAACATTTATAATTTGAAATTATACCTGATTGATATGTTATGTAAATTTTTTGTTTACCCAGTTTTTGCTTCAACTGGTAGGTAATTAAATGAAGGCAGATTTTATTATTATTATTACCACAGAGAAAGCACTGAAAACCAATTTTTTTTTTGTTATTAGAAGTAATATTTTTTTATTGTACAACAAAAATAAAAGACGATTATCAAAAATTTTATGGTGTCTTTTCACAAATAAGAATTTTTACTGGTAACGAAATTGTGGTTCACTGTTGAAATGCAGGTGGTTCAGTGTATACTACCTATAGTACACAGTGAGCCAATTTTTATTTTATTTTTAAACTTTACGGTCTTTATTCGTTTCTCTGGCTTTCTGTAACCTGAATATGAGAAACTGTATAAAATTGCCTAAACCATGACACCAAAACAAAATTCTTAACTTTAATTTCTAACAAGTTATATGACTTAGAAAAAAGGTTGGTTCTCTGT